TTCGGTTCGGTTCGGTTCGGTTTTTATCTCGGTTCGGCACGGTTCGGTTCGGTTAATAACCACGAAAATAAATTATTTTTTATAGGTTCATCAGTCAAATTGATATAAAACAATTTATGAAAAAAGTCAATGAAAACAAAAACACAATATTCCAAACGAAAATGCAAACATTATCAAACAATATTACAAACGTAAATGCAAACATTATCCTAATTTTCAATTGTAAAATGCAAATTTAACAAACAATATTATAAATATAATAATACTAAACTTTTCCTTCATTCTTAATTGTTGTGCATCGAAGTTATTGATGCATTCTTCCCTACAAGTCTTACTAGCATAGATCAGAATTCAAAGTTGATTCCTATTCATCCTTGGTAATATTAGCACGTCTAGAAAAATATCGAACTCTGTTTTTACATGATCAGCAGTAATAGAATGACTAACAAATGTAACAAATTTTCGGAGGCGACGACGATTTGGACCGTAGAGGCAATGGAGCCGTGCGTGAGTTTGTGGTTGTGGAGAGTAGGGTTTGTATTTATATACTGTCATACTAGTGTTATTATGGGCTAATGGTAAGTAAACTGACCGAATGAGTGAGGTAGATATAATGAGGAGGGGAGGGATTTTTTTTGATTTAGATAGAAAAGTAGTGTAAAGCCCATTATCAATTCAATTTTTTTTTTAGTGGGTAATCGGTTCGGTTTCGGTTCGACGACGTAAATACCATACCCGTACCATTACGAACCGGTTCATTAAAATCAAAACCATATCCGCCCCATTGCACCATCGGTTCGGTTTTTTTCGCCCCATTCGGTTCGGGTCGAAGTGAAATATATTTTATGAGCGGTCGAGGTGTCAAACTTTTGCTTAAGTGGGCAATTGAGTTCTAACTAAATTTTTGTGACCAGTTTGGTACTGCAAAAAATTAGATTTTTAGTATATTTTGATAAAAATGATGAAATGTAGTTGATAAAAGTTTTGGATCCATAAAAATGTGTGGTTAATATTAATTGTTGATATTAACTTAAATTTTTATCCTCTTTTTAGCTAAATCAAACTAGATCATTATTCTTTCACGCGAATATTTATCATGAGATTTTGTCCAATATATCATTTCTAAAGTCTTGTAATTTCTACGTGAACTATTGTTTCAAGACTAAGAAAGAGTAAAATAAAGTAATATTTATGAAATAAAAATGAAAACTTAAAAAAAATAGAAAGAGAAAAAAGGGGTTCATCTTATCTCCCACCAATTAAGCTTGAGGTGATTTGTCTAAGCTTGAGCTCCATGGTTAGTAGTTGTAAAAGGCGCGATGCTTGACAAGATAAGAAGGTAACCTTCAAACATTATGAGTTTAGATGTGCCTAAACAAAGTCTAAACATAACAAGATGATTCCTAATATTATTTTAATTATACTAAGATCGTTAATAGTTATTTGAATAGACCGGTATTTTAATTATTAATCAAACCATTAATAATTATTCTTAATACTAAAGTAGTTTATTTAGCTCCTATATGATTGGGATTAAAATTAGATTTTTCAGAAGATTTTTACAGAAGTTGATGATATACCATATACGTGATTGAAAATTTGTATGACCCATAAAATGTGTTAAAATTAATTATTAACTGACTTAGATTAAAATCTAAATTTTAATCTATACCAATCAAGAGCTTAATCTTTAAAAATTGGATTTGGGTGGTCAAAAATAGCATTGGCAGCGTTTGAAAGATGTCTTGCTAATATATTTCATATTTACCTATATTGTAAGGGAAGCATTCAATTTTTGGTTGAGATGAGATTAGGATGTATTTAATGGGTTCCAATTAAATACTAATTATCTCTATTGATTAAGGTGCTCGGATAAACATCAATTTAGGTGACAATTACTTAGTGGCATTAATTGATTCATCTCCCATTGTGGTAGCATTATTCAATGAAAAAGTAGTCAAAATGAGCAATAATATCTTCATGTCCCTTATACGTTTCAATTTAAGTGAAAAGTGGTCAAAACACGCACGCGCATACAGATGTATGTAAGTTGTTAGCTTTTTTGTCAAATAGCTAACAACTTCATTCAGTAAAAGATGATATTTTAAACTAAAATGAGTTATTTGAAGCGATACAACCAAAGTAGAGTGAGTTATTGCCTACTTGGATCCGCAATCAAATGGCAAGAAATACCATTGACATCTTGCTTGAGTTCAAACTCGTTGAATTACCTTCCTTCTTGATTTTAATGAAGCTAATTTTTTCCTTAAAACATGTACGACGAGTCAACAAGAGAAATAAGCACATAGTTGAATAAAGCATTTTCTCGACGGAGAAAGAAAGAGGAAAGAGGTAGATATAATGAGGAGGGGAGGGATTTTTTTTGATTTAGATAGAAAAGTAGTGTAAAGCCCATTATCAATTCAATTTTTTTTTTAGTGGGTAATCGGTTCGGTTTCGGTTCGACGACGTAAATACCATACCCGTACCATTACGAACCGGTTCATTAAAATCAAAACCATATCCGCCCCATTGCACCATCGGTTCGGTTTTTTTCGCCCCATTCGGTTCGGTTAACCGCGATTTTCGGTTTTGATGGTTCAAATTGCCATCTCTATTAATTATTAACTGACTTAGATTAAAATCTAAATTTTAATCTATACCAATCAAGAGCTTAATCTTTAAAAATTGGATTTGGGTGGTCAAAAATAGCATTGGCAGCTTTCCATGCCTATGCAAGGTGATGCGAACCCGATTAACACGGTCGTTATCGAGCCCACAATAATTGATACCGGATCTCAAGAACGCCCAAATACGACCAAAGTTTAAAGTCTAATCCTCAAACTTGAACCAAGCAACCGAAGGTATATTAAACCAACGACCTCTTGATCACAGTCTCGAAATCACTCCCGGATTGTGGATTTGAACCAATAAAATATGAACCAAAAAACCCGGCAAAAACGATGCTTAAAAGACCCCTTGATTACATAATCCAAATATTCAACCCGATATTTTGAACGCCACAAGAAATAAATTCTTGATAAATTCGGTATTATTGTTCCATCAAGAAACAAAATTGAAGCAAAGCTTCGAAAGGGATTTTTATTGATTCATGAATAAAGACTTCTAATTGTTGCAATGAAAACAATCTCCTATTTATGCTAAAATCCTAGAATAATGAAATAAAGAAAAACATAATTAAAAAGTCTAAGAATATGGTTAAAACGTGCATAAGAATCCTAGAAAATATAAGTTTACCAAAAACAAGTATTTCCATCAAAATAGAACTCTCTCGCAAAAGGAAAGATTTTCACCCTAGAATATCTCTATGCAGTCGCATGGTAGAAATCAATGTAGTCGCATTAAGAAAACATTCAACTTCAATTTTTGTTCTGCCCTATAGTATGCGGTCGCATAGCTTTTTGAGCTAGGCGGTTGCACGGTTCAAAAACTTGTATCTCTTTCTTCTTGTGCGAAATTTCATGACGATTCCAAATTGTACTCGTGGGCGAAAATTCGACACCCAAGCTTAGAGTTATGCCCTTTTAATCCACGCTGCTCATTTTTCCATATATCGTCCAAAACTTTGAATCCAATTCTTTTCAGCTCCCAACCCCAACATGAAAGTTACTCCTTGACATATGAATTTCATTATTTTGGACCCCGTAATCTCAACACTTAATTGTATGATTTTATTGGCTTTGACCAAACTTGACTTTGCATTGGACTTTCTTCCAAAAATTATCAAATTCTCAATAGTTTGGTGCGCAACCCAGATCATATCACAAGGCTTTTCCACGCACTTAGGTTATAGACTTTTTTCTGGCTTTTAGAACATTGGATAAAACAAATTGTCCACCAAATCAAAGTTTAGTTGTGTTATATGTACATAATAATTTATATATACATAATGATGAGATACAATTGAATCAAAATTTCTTCAACTAAATAAAAAAATAAAAAATCACCTTTCTTTTTGACATGTTATATGTATGTAGGCTATTAATGGATTAGATTTCGATTTGAATCAGATGAAATTAATGGAAGATGAATTTAGGGTTCCAATAACTCGATCAAGATCTGAATTCGATAATCCATTAACTAAATGAAGCAAAAATGGATATAGATCAATTCGATCCAATAACAACTCGATCCGATTTGTTATATTATTGCATAATTTATTATATATTTCATTTAGAAACTTGTATTATACTTTACACATAATTTTTAAATGATAAATAATATCATATAATAATAAAATATTGTTAATTGAAATATTTGGAGAGTTTTTAATTTTTTATTAATTAAAAAATAATTAAATTATTTTATAAATTAAACAATCAAAAGGACCAACAATTAGAGTTGTTTTCATTATTCTCGACTTTCTACTTCCCACATTAGACACTTACTAGAATATCGCAAGACCGAAGACTTACAATCCATAAATAGACGGGGCAATGAATTGGATAAAAAGTTATATGGGTCTTTTAACTTTAAGACTAAGAAGTAGACTAATATAAATTTTTTATCTTCCTAATTTCTTCAATTTTGAACCGAATTATCGAATCGAATATTATTCAAATATCCATTGAATCATCGAATCGGATCTAGTTCATACCCTATCCATTAACAATCTATCTATATGTAAATCATTGTATAACTCCATCATGTACAAATAGCATTATTCATCAAAGTTTATCTTAAAGACTTATCATTCTAACCAATGTGGTCCCCTAGACTACTCGAATCTAGTGATATCATCTTGTTACAGCAAGGTTCGTCTACAGCAAGTCAAGAACCATCAATGGCCGTTCTCGCTAGTAGTCCGTTGGAGCCATTTAATAAATAGATAATCTCACCAAGATTTTCACTCGGTTTGTCCACAGGGACTGAGTGAAGACCCTAGATAGCAAGTCTGTTAATTTCTTGACGATAGTAGCAAGAACATAAACAAATGACATCAACAAACTATGGAAACTAATATCTTCTCATTTGGTTTCTGCAATTCTTAAACTACAGTCTTTTCACTGTTGCTGAATTTTCATATCCCTACCATCTGGCAAACTGATTGCAAAAAAAAATCCAGCCCCTACACTTCAACATCTCCTCCTACAAATTGGGCTTAGAAAAACGAACAAAATCCTTTCTATATGTCTACGAAACTCTACCAGAACTGAATCACCTACGATGTGAATTATCGTGCTTTTGCACCTTTGATCGCTTACCAGTTGTCCTTTCGTCATATTTACCTTCATTGCGCATTTTCAATGAGCCATTACTACGAGTAGAGACTTCAAAAGGTCCAGAGGAACTTTCAAATTCAACAATATCAGTAACTACTGCATGGATCATGACATCACTTTTGGGTGCTAAAACAGCTTTCCTCTCGACAACTGCCGTCTGCCCACAACGTGGATCCTCAATGGCTTTATCTCTTAGTTTCTGAAATACGGTGTCCTTATCTTCCTTAAAACATTCTTTTGAAACCTGCACATGTTTGCTATCACGATATCAGTAGAAAATAACAAATGCTGCAACAAAATCCATCCGTGAAATTCACATTGCAAAAACCAATTATTTCTTAACCAGCAATTGTCACAATTTATAAGGCAATAAATCGCTGCCCCACCCCCCATGCCAAAAATATATGAAAATCGCATAGAGAAAGAACGATAAAAAAAAAAAAAAAAAGACAAGATAACTTCAAAACCCTGACACGTTAGGTTATAGAGAGTGAAGAATAAAAGAAACACAAATATTAAAAAGATAAAAATATAATTTACACATAAATATAGCTGAACAAAGGTGAATTCTCACCTCAAAATCAACTGGAATCTTGAGCTCTGTGCATGAACACTTACAACCAGCGCTAAAGTTCAGTTTCAACTGAATTTCAAAAGGCGTTACAGTCCTCACGGTCCTCCTGATGAATAATAGAAATTAGAAATATAAATGTAGCAAAAAAAAGTTGTTGTATACCTACTTTCTGCTACTTTGTCGGATTTTATGCGCAATATTAAAGAGATGAAAAAGATAATCAACACAAGAATTTACGTAGTTCGACGGTGTGCTTACGTCCACGAAAGCGAAGCGGATATTTCTTTATTCAGTAGTGAAAAATAGGGTTACAACATATTATTTATACTAACTCTAGCCTGAGCCCATATAAGACTTTAAGGCCCGTATAGAAAATATCTCTGTACCGTACCGCGAGGCGTTGCCCCCACACCCCCAACCCATTCAGCGTCCCTAATAACCAGACAGTAAATTAAACCCGCGCAAAGCCGATGCCGTAGCTCCGCTCTGTGCCAGCATCAGCCCATTTAATTCAAGACCTGTGTTCCATTCTATATGAGCCACATGCACAACATACTTACACGAGGCATTTTAGACTACTAGAATCGATAATTTCTTAGAGCATCTCCAATAATGCTCTTCATTTTAAAGAGCATCTTTTATCATATAAAGAACAACTTAAGGAATTTTTAAAAATAAAAATTCAAACTTTTTACACAACTCCAATGCCACTATCTATATTCATTCATTTGTTTTTTCCCATAAGCAATTATTATTCATCATTCTCCCTCTTTTTTATTTTATTGCTTCCCACCTTTAATGTCGTAGAAATTAAAGAAATGAATAGAAAATTGTGCAATAATAAATGAAGCATCGTATAGAGAGTGGATTTGGCTCTCTAAGTTTGGAGAGTCAAATACACTCTTTATCTGATTCTTGAAGATAACGAGTTTATTGGACACCTCAAAAAGAGGTTTAACTCTATAAAATAGAGAAAAGTAGACGAATAAAGAGCCTATTGAAGATGTACTTACTAGTAGTATAGTTGGAATTCAGATTTAAAACCAGTGAAAAAGTTTTCAAATGTAGCACTATATCATCTTAACATTTATCGAAACTTCTTAGCAGTGAACAAATGGATCAAAGAAAAAATTGAATTCCTTAACATAGAATTCCTATAGAACCTCTATCTTGTATCAAGATTCAACAAGCCACCTCAAGTGTAGGCCAAATTATTTTTGCATTGACAAATAAGAATACATAAATGGGTAAGCAGCAACACTCGAACCAACATTTTTCTTTTTTCTTTTTTGTTAATGCCATGTTGAACCATCTCATCTAAAAACTTTTGTCAAATAGAATTAATCTATTTATTTAAATTTTAGCCTTCAGCACTCTAAAACAAATTGACACTATTTCAAGACAACTCGAAATACCACAAATTCAAAAAATATTTGTAATTTGCAGTGATATATTCTGCACTTCGATTGGAGAGAATTTTCGGGCTAAGTTCATTCTGCATTACATAAAAGAGTGACGTACCTTTTCAGATCAAGTGGTTGCTTATCTAGAACTGCTGCCTTCATATTTAGACTTTCAGAGAAGGAGACCTAAACACAGAATGCCACAAAAATTTTACTGACGACTCAAAAATAACAAGGATTTGACCATTAACAAAGAATGGCTTACGTAGACTAGGTGCAAATCCTAGGAGTGTTCTGGGTACTACCCAAGAGACGTCGGGGACACAAGTGACACATGAGTATGGAGAATCCTTCGTGGAGAAGAGAAGGGCATTTTGGGGATAGATTTTGGAATTGAAGACTGAACAGATTTGATATTTGTGCATATAGTCAATCATGATGAAATCAAGGAAATTTATTGGTGAATGCAAATTAGATTGGCCAAAAATGTAAATCATGTACGTACAATCATCTTTATTTTGGTGTAAATTGTTAGCTTGTGACTTCGCTGAGGGCAATTCATTTGGAATTGAAGACCAAATAGATTGTGCATATAGTCAATCAAGGTGAAAGAAAGGAAATTTATTTGTGAATGCAATTTGGATTGGCCAAACATATAAACCATGTACGTGCAATCATCTTTATTTTGGTATTAAATGTTGGTTTCTCTCATTCAATCCACATGTACCCAATTAAGAAAAGGGAATAACATATATGCACAGAAAGTCATGAGATCACCTTGACAGATTCAACAAAAGGTAATGGAGCTTTCTTCCCATGCACACTCTCTACCCTGAGATTCCAGTTCACATATTTTTTATCTGCAAAAGAAGAAAGAGAGAAGCATCATTAGTACATGTTCAAGAATAAAATTAAGAACTCGAATGCAGTACGAAGATATTTGATTAGAAAATATGAAGAAAGAAGAAAGATCGATCAAAAGGAGTCATCAAGGGAAGTTACCTAGACTCAAGCTTTGAGTTAAAACAATCTGAAAAAGATCAATTCTAACAAAAGGAGGGATATGCAAATTGAGCGTGTTCATGACTCCAGCAATCACCTGTTTGAGGTCATGTTAATGAGCAATTCCATATAGATGCAGAGAAAACACAAGAATTTACATAAAAGCTAAGAATCTATAAGGTTAAAAATTTAAAATGCTAGGTCAGAAACTTTGTCGAATGGGCTTTTGCCACAATAAGGGAATTTTCTCAGTAACATGTACAGAGTGTTTCGCTGCTTGACTTATGTATGTTTGATAAAGATGATCACAATATACTAGATGGTAGATAGTGTTTTAGAAGAAAAATAGGCTAAAATTTTGTTTATTATGATTTCAATCATACCTAATCTTTTGTACCAGGGTACTAAAAGCCTGACAAGGTAAATTCTTACCAGCCCAGACGTTGAAGCCTAGACGTAATTAGATGTTTTCCTATTCTTAAATATTAATCTAATTATTCTAATACCATTAATAATTATTTTATTAAGACCATTATTTTAATTATTTTGAAGAACCCTTAATAACTATTCAATTTATTAAGGCCCCGTTTGGTAGGGATTTTTTGCCCCAAAAAATTAATTTTTTGACCGTTATTTTACTATTCAAGCCGTAATTTTTTACTCTTTTCTCACATGTGGATCCCATTTTTCTTCTAACGGTCAAAAAATCAATTCTCAAAATCCCTACCAAACGGGCCCTAAATTAGTTTATTTAACCTTTGAAAAATCAAAAATAAAAATTGGACAAAAAATAAAAAGGTGCACTCCTTTTTGTGCCTAGGCCCATGATTATGTGGTCAAAAACAAAGTTGACCGCCTTTTTCATGCCTTCCCTATAGGCTAGGCTTTCTCCTTCAGTTTCACACCTTCTCCTTGCCTTCTCCCTCCCTTTCGGAACACTGTTTTTTAACAAACAACACTTAACGCTTTGATCACAAAAATCCAATTTTACTTGAATAAAGTCTTTCATAGATTTCTAGATAAGTTGGCCAAGGGCAGTTAGCTGCTATATTTTCTTTCATGTACACCTTATTTGCATTTTTTACTAAGCCCTTGTTTGATGGGGATTAGAATCAAATTTTTAGTAGATTTTGACAAAAGTTGATGAAATGTGTGGTTGAAAATTTGTGGATCCTATAAAATGTGTGATTAAAATTAGTTGGTGACTTTGATTTAAATTAAAATCTGAATTTTAATTTTTATCAAACGGGGGCTAAATAAAGTTCTGTATATTAGTGCAAAAAAGATAGGGAAGAAATATTTTCTTGGATTAAAATCCATTAAGGAAAACAAAGCTTAGCAGCATATCACCAAAAAGCAATACCTTGTCTACAGGTCCATGGATCACCAAACTTGCTTTCTTGTCCTTTGGCGTTTCCTGTAAAATTAGAATATATAACTAAACTCGTGTATTTATTCATTTATCTCCTGGCGGCATGCATTAAGAGGTGAGCCATATATTGTGGGAGAAATATGAACATGCCTGAAGATTCACAATTACAATCTCACCCCCACCCCGTAGACACTTTAGAGGCAAATTACATGCAGGCGTAATCTGCAAACTGCACAAAGTAAAGCATTTTTATGAAATGGAGAAGATTTTAAATACTCAAGTCTGTCAAAATTTACCAAGAAATACAAACAGAAGAGTGATTTTGAGGTCCACTAGAAGAAGACTGCAGCAATCAATAGAAACAATATAGGCATTACAAGTTACAGAAAAAATTCGTGGAATTCAATATTTATTTAAGACATTCCACTTAACCTCTAATCTAGGTCAATTTCGAAGTTATAGGGAACTAGCCATAAATTACAAAACTTGAAACAGCATTGGGTGATTATGAAAGCCCTCAATTAGAAAATAACTACTAATTAAAGTTGCAACTCCAAAAATGATCATAATTTTGGAAAGCAAAAGTGGATTACGTTTTTATGATAAAGTGTGACATCTCTAAATTAACACTATCTATTATACAGTAATTTATCCATTAGCAAGGGTTTTTAATTTGTAGAACATCTATATTAAAAATAATAATAATAATAATTATTATTTCGTGCATATTTACTAATGCTACCACATGATTCTAGTTGATAGAAAGTCTTCAATTATTAAAAATTAAACACAAGGAATCTTTGAAGAGGAAAATCAAGAAATTGAAGAAAGTCCGAAGGAACAAGCAATACAAAAAGAACTTACAACTGCAATTGATCAACCTCTGATTCACCACCCCATTTCTATTTAAAGCTGGGTACAAAAACAAAAGAGAAAACCACAATGCAGGATAGCAATTCTATCTTATTATTGAATCCAGCGAAGTACAAGTATTTATAGTGTCAAAGTGCAGACACATTACTTTATTCTAGGGATTTCTACCAAATTCAAATATATGTCAATCTCATAAATAAAGAAATGAACTATAAGTTGACATTGATGGAGCCACGAATTATGGGAAAAATGACCACCAAATCTGCTTCTAATTTCTGGAATCTTCAACACTCCCCCTCAAGCTGGTCGATACAAGTTAAATAATTCCAACTTGTCCACCATTTTTCTGAACATGGGTCTAAATAAACCTTTTGTTAATAAGTCTGTGACCTGCTCGGAAGAAGGTACATATACCAAGCATATTGTCTTTTTTTCTATGTTCTCCTTGATGAAGTGTCTATCGACCTCTACATATATAGTTCTGTCATGATGAACAGAATTTTGTGACATTGCAATGGCCGCCTTGCTATCACAATAAACTTTCATAGGCTTATTCTCCTTAATCCCAAGTTCACTTAACAGTATCTTTAACCATATTATTTCATAGATTCCATGTGCCATTGCTCTGAATTCAGTTTCAGCACTGCTTTTGGCCACAACTGGTTGTTTCTTACTTCTCCAAGTGACTAGATTTCCCCCACACGAAGGTACAATAACCAGTTGTAGATCTCCTGTCTGTTATTGAACCAGCCCAATTAGCATCGATGAAGGTTTCAATAGATCTTTCAGAATTCTTTCTGAATAAAATTTCATACCCAGGAGTCCCTTTCAAATATCTCAAGATTTGATAAACAACTTTCATATGCTCTTTGAATGGAGCATGCGTGAATTGGCTCACAACACTGACTGCAAAAGCAATATTTGGCCTTATGTATGATAAGTAAATAAGTTTGCCAACTAGACGTTGATATCTTCCCTTATCAACAGGTGTACTTTTTAAGCAATTCCTCAGTTTATGATTGGGATTTATAGGGACATCAACTGGCTTACTTCCCAACATACCTGTTTCTCCTAAGAGATCCAAGACATACTTTCTTTGTGAAACAGAGATACCACTCCTATTTCTAGCAACCTCCAGACCTAGAAAGTATCGTAAGGGACCCAAATCTTTTATCTCAAACTCGGTTGAAAGAGCTTTCTTCAATCTCTCCATTTCTTCATAGTGATCACCGGTCAAGACTGTATCGTCCACATCAACTATTAGGATGGTAATTTTTCCATCTGAATGCCGGTAAAACATGGTGATATCCGATTGGGCTTGTTTATATCCTTGTTGACATACCACTTTCATAAACCTATCAAACCAGGCTCATGGGGATTGCTTCAACCCATATAAAGACTTTCTAGTTTATAGACTTTTCCTTCGGTCTTAGCTTCATCAAATCCAGGGGAGATCCATATATACCTTTTCCTCTAGATCACCATTCAGAAAAGCATTTTTTACATCCAATTGTTGTAGTTTCCAGTCTAGATTAGCTGCCAGAGACAAAAGAACTCTCATTGTGTTCAACTTTGCAACTGGAGCAAAGGTTTCCTGTAGTCAATTCCATAAGTCTGAGAATATCCCCTTGCCACTAACCTAGCTTTATAGAGTTCTGCTGAACCATTTCACCTGTATTTCACTGAAAACACCCATTTGCACCCAACTATGGGCTTATCTTTAGGTTTTTCCATAAGCTGCCATGTTTTATTTTTATTCAAGGCTGTCATTTCTTCCTTAACTGCTTTTCTCCATTCTGGAATTGCCAAGGCTTCATGAATAGATTTTGGAGTATTGATCAATGATAGGTTCGCTGCAAGTGTTTGAACTGATCTGGATAGATGACTATCTCCAATGAAGTCTGAAATAGGATGTTGTGTACAAGATCTAACTCCCTTCCTGAGGGCTATAGGCACATCCAAATCATTAATAGCATCAAACTGTGTATTAAGGAAGCTACCTGAATTTGGATTAGATTCACGGCTTTGCTGTTGAACTGTGAGGTGTTCCACAATTTCTGGATTTTGTCTCCTTGAATATCCACGTAGCTCTGATGTTTCAGCAAGTTATTATCTCCCACTGTCATTGAACTTGGTTGTACAAGAGAATCAACATGTGGATTAGGAAGTGTGGAAGATGATGGTTCAAATATGGGGATAGAGTTTTCTTCAATGTGTGGCATAGGTGTCTGTGGTGGAGTTTCCCAAAAATTCCCATCATAGGTACAATGTTTCTCCTCCTAAGGAGAATTTTGGGAAAAAAATGAAGAGATTCAAAGAAAGTGACATCCATAGATATGTAAGCGAGTAGCCTAAGAACACACATTTTCGAGCCTTAGGGTCTAGCTTAGTATCTTCGTGATCATGGATATGAGTAAAGGCTACTTCCAAATACTTTCAGTGGTATCAATGAGATCGATCGAACTTGTGGGTACACTTTTGACAGAATAGTTAGGGGGGTTACAAAATTATGTATCGGAGAAGGCATTCTGTTTACAACGTAACATGCAGTAAGGACTGCATCACCCCAAAAGTGTTTTGGAACTCTACTGGTAAACATAAGTGCCCTAGCAATTTCAAGGAGGTGACGATTTTTTCTTTCGGCTATTCCATTTTGCTGTGGCGTAATGACACGAACATTGGTGTATGATGCCTTCTCCGGTGAGAAAGTCTCCTAAGACTTGACTGAAGCACTCTCGTCCGTTGTCGATTATAAAGATTTTTATTCTTGCATCAAATTGAGCTTGGATCATAGAGTAAAAAATTTTAAAAATTTGTGCAGTTTCGGACTTATCTTTCAACGAATAGACCCAACATACCCTCTTATGATCATCTATAAATGTTATGAACCAACGTTTGTCAGTAACAGTTTTATTCCAAGAAGGACCCCATATATCACTATGTATTAAAGTAAATGGTGAAGAAGATTTATAATCATGAGTGGGGAATGAAGAATGAGAATGTTTGGCTAATTGACAGATATCACATTGAAAATTATCTTTATTGCAAAACAAAGATGGAAACAAATATTTAAGATATGAAAAACTAGGATGACCTAAACGACGATGCCATAACATTATTTCTTCTTCTATAGGGATAGACTCACAACTTGCAATTTGAGCTTGTTTATTCAAGTAGGCGTCCTCCAGAAAATAGTACAGTCCCTCACGTTCTTTAGCATTGCTAATCCTCTTCCTTGAAATCAAGTCCTGAAAGGTACACAATGACTCAGTAAAGTTAACACTGCAGTTCAAATCTTTTGTTAATCTGCTAACAGAGAGAAGATTGCAAGGAAGACTCGGAACATGTAAAACAGATTTTAATTCAACAAATGTACTGAGTTGAATATTCCCCATTCCAGCAACTGCGGCGAGCGACCCATCTACAATTTTTACTTTAAAATGTCCAGGGCATGGTGAGTATGAATGAAACAATTTTTTACATCCCATCATATGATCGGTGACTCCAGAGTCAATAACCTAATGTTCAATATTACTCCTGCTTGTTAATGCTGAAATAAAATTACCTTTTTCAATTAATAAACCCGAGTGTGATGGGCCACTCGAGTTTGATGAGCTACTGGATGGAGTAATAAGCTTATAAAGTTGTTCAAGTTGGATCTTGGTGAGAGATAACGAGACATTTTCAGACACTTTTGGGCTAGCTTCGATAGAACTCTGGAGTCCAGTGACACGGCTGATGTTCTTCATGGTGGACATGATTCGGTCTTCCATCATTACGAGTCCATTGCTTTCGGCTTGGTGGTCGCTCGTGTAGGACCCAGCAATGATCGGCGGAGTGATTCGTCCTTTTGCAGTGGTCGCACCATGAACCACCATTTTTTCTAGTTACCCGTTATTGTTCATGACCACGAGCGACGAGTGCTGAATTTTCCATGGAAGGTTGCTTGGAATCTCCAAGCATGACGGGTCTTCGGCTGGCCTCGCGTTGCACCTTAGCAAAAATTTCATCGATTGCTGGGATTTGTTTCATGCCCAGTAATCTACCCCTTACTTCGTCCAATTCTGGTACCAACCCAACCAAGAAGTCATAAATTCTCTCCTTTTCCACCTATTTTTTATATTTCTCAGCATCTCTTGGCGTAACCTAGTCGATTCGAACAAACATATCAATTTCCCGCCATAGTCGTTGCAGAGCGTTGTAGTATTGTGTAACATCAAGGAATCCTTGATGTAAGTTTTGTGCCTTATTCCGGAGTTCAAATAGCTGGGCTGAATTTTCCAGATCGGAGAAGGCAACGGTAGGAGCATTCCAGAGTTCTTTAGCTGTAGAATGATATAGATAAGGTTCTTTAATATCTTCTTCCATTGAATTTATGATCCAAGACATCACCATAGCGTTCTGGGCGTCCCAAGTTGCGTAGGATTGGTCATCTTTTGCCGGTTTTATTGTGGTTCCAGTTACATAACCCAGACATCCCCGACCACGGATAACCATTAGGACAGATCAAGACCATTGGAGGAAGTTTCTGCCATTCAATCGGGTCGTGGTAATTTGGAGAGAGAAATTTTCGAAGAGAGTAGCCATGGCAGGATGATTAGGAGTGATGGGTACACTAGTAGAGATAGGCTCAGAGGTCCCTGTTGAGACTCTGGATTCCTCTTTTTTGCGTGTACCAGTCATGGCCGTTTTGACCATTTCACCTGCTCAGATGGCCCTTGGCTCTAATACCATAAAGCTAGGTAGAAAAACAAAAGAGAAAACCACAATGTAGGACGGTAATTCTATCTTATTATTCTAACCGTTTTTGCTCTTTCTTTCTTTTTCTTCTTTTCCTTTTCTTTCCCGTTTCTGCTCTCTATAAACCTAGTGTTATCTCAGAGAGAGTGGAAAAATGTGACGACACTAGGTTTTCCCCTCCTTTCTTTTCTCTTTCACTTTTCTTCTTTTCCTTTCTGTATCAGTGGTTTAAGATTTTGTTTGTATAAAATGAAAAGGTGTTCCATATAGTGCTGCTTAGTACTCCACTAAGTCCAAATTGCAATCAAGTTCCCTATTTTCTATTTTATATAACATTTAATAATTAATTTTTCATAATTAAAAACTAAACCCCAAAATTCTATGTTATTCGTCTTAACCCCTTGTTCAATAGTCATTTTCATCTTTGTAAACAACTGATTTTTGTCTATTTAAAATGAAATCTTGGGCTAGTAAAAAAATTGAAGTTTAAAAGATGTACCCACGTACTCGTGTCCGAAATTTTGACTCTTTTTAGCCATTTCCTCATATCCTACATTTTAGAAAATAAAAGATCCAACACTTAAATACGCACCTTTACCCATGCCCGTACCCGGGTCCGAGCATCATAGCTCCCAGGTATCTAGTACGAGATCAGGATGACCTAGAAGAAATTGGCTATTCTAGATAGATGATTCTCTAAGGAACGTTCTGCTATTTTTTTCTTTTTGATATTTTGTATTAATTATTAGATATCAAAATCATTAAATTATGCCTGTAGAAAGCTGTCAGTTTCATGAACTTTTTATTAAATTTCAGAAGTTATTAATTATTGAAGTACTAATTTAGAGAGGTCATAATGTATATTATATGACACTTGTGTCTACATATGTATTTGCCATGGCCCTCATTACATGAACTCCTAGCCCCACTGCTGCCCAACGTCAAGTAGATAGAAGTCTAGAAGCTGGAAACTGATAGTCAGGTTATTGTACATATTAATTATCCAAGGCTCCTTCAGCCATGACAAGGTTTGATAACCAAGGAAGGAAGCATGTCAAAAGGTGCGAACATAACATTGTAATCTCAAATTTCTATCACAGCCACAAAAACAGTTGAGATTTAGAGAATGATTAGCTATACATAGAAGTTACTTTTTTAGGACTTGAGTTAAGTAATAAAGAAAAGTAAGTTTCGTTAGTGGCAAAAAGAAACTTTGAAAGTAGTGTTGGCAAAATAAGTAACTTAAACGTAAGTTTGATTTACTTTTAACTACAGTCAACATGTTGTTAGTATGAACTTTTTGCTCGAAAGAAAATAATCTAGCAAGCTAATCTCTTAAGGGAAAAAAGCTGCAACCCCAAATAGAAGGAGACGTAGAGGACATGTTTATCAGAGCGATTACCTTGTTCCTAAACATAGTACAACATCAGCCATTTTGCAATGCCTCTCTGCTGGACCCATCTCTTTTGACGGCAAAGCATCCTGAGAGAGAGAATCAACTATGACCCAACAAGGTGATAGACCTTGGTCTATTGGACAATAGTTAATGGTAAAGCACCGACTCAAGTACTCGCAATTTTTATTTTTTCCTCATACTTGTGAAATCTAATTGTTCGTCTCTTTTTTATCAGAAGTTGTGCTTCTTAGGCACTATAATTCTCGCTGAAGAGTATATAGAACTCCTTACGTGCTCTATTTACTAAATTCACCATTCATGGACTTGTGGTCTAGAGATGGTGAAGAGTGAAGAAATCTTGCTGGTTGTTGAAGTAGGCTAATTACAAATTATTAATGGCTTTAAGGAATGATAAACATACGCATATATAGCGGTGTCAAAATGCAGCACACCACCCAGCATGTAAAAGGCCTGTCGCAGGCACACCCCAAATAAAAACAGAATGGGCCAAGCGAGGACATGCTGGAGGGGCACATTGCCCCCTGAATGGGCTGTCCCATAACCAATTTTGCATCGGGCCATCCCTTTTGAAACCTCTACTCGTATTTTTATAAAGATCATATAAACTAGCTAAAGATTTGAAATCCCTCGTGCATTATTTTTTTGAAAACATTTTTTAGCTCAATTGAAAAACTTTTCTAGTTGACTCTTTTGGAAGAACCATCCAGCTTTGTCAATCGATGGAATCAGGTATTATTTATTTGTGCTTTATGATTAATGCAAATTAGAAACTTTAACAACGAAAAATTAGTACCTCCCAATCAAGAACTGTGTCCCTCAGTTTTGAGGTGCAGCCTGCCTTGGAACAATTCCGTGAAGTCTCCTTCAGTCCAATGGTCTCAACTTCAAAATCCCTCAAATACCTTCACAGGAAAAACGTAGGATATTAATATATTACTTGTCTGTGTGTGGATATATATATATATATATATAGAGAGAGAGAGAGAGAGAGAGTTTTTCCAAATTAGAGAAAAGGATATAAAGGCTTAATACAATGAAATGGCATAGTCCATAATCCTTACTCAGTTCCACAGGATGGACATAGTTCCATGAAGGAGTTTCCATGCAATTCAGAAAGTTTTTCCCTTGGTATTCCGGAACGTAGATGAAGGGCATCAATATTCTAGAATTTTAAGACCATAGTCAAAAACATACACTAGTCTAATGAAAAATCACTGGAACTTTAAATGCTACGCACCCAAAAAGCTCAAAATGATTTAAGGACACAATAGTTGCTATTAAATTTCTCCACATGATATTAATAAAGTGAAGTTCATGAAGAGCACGTTAAAATTGGTTCCTTGAGAAAAGGTGGAGTGTGAGGAAGAAATAAAGTTCATTCAATTAATTTCAAATCTTCACTAATACTTTCACAAAGGAAGCCAATTAAACAGTAATTTGCTACCTGGCTTATAAGAAACTTCAGGATTCCAGCCTTCTCTAATCCAACCAATGCCATATGAGTTACGCTTGGCATTGCACGATGGAAAGGTAGAGATGCTTCTGGCAAGGCTTTGCCTTGGCGCTACAAATGAGTGAAAAGTTGGCTCTGAATGAACTGTGATCTCTCTTCTTTTAGTTAATAAACAGCAATAAAAGATGGCCATGTAATTTCTTGAAAACATTTCTATGTACAAATTCACTCCCAGAAAAATGCAACAGAAACTCAGATGAAATACTATTAATCTATTCCTGCTCCTAGTAACAAAATATGTGCCCTATCTTCTCATTATTTATGTTCAACACTGAATCTCCCTGTAGTTTTCCTTCTGAAGGGAGAATCTTCTTGTGGTTGGTCAAATGAATGACCATGAAAAGTTCACTGAATCCATTTATATAACCTTTTCATAAAGATAGACCTTGAAATAATGGAAGTTCACAAAACCAATGGCCAGAACTCCGTCACTGTGGGTAGGATGGTCGGCCTCATGATTCAGGAAAGATAAGCATCAAAATATAATTCCAAGGAACAAGTTTTTTCCAGTGGGAAATGGTTAATAATTTTCTAATCTCTCACATGCACACATTTTAGCAGATTTAAGTTTAAGAAAAAAGGTTAATTATTTTGAAAGTACTCAGCCTGCCAATAAAATAAGTAAAACATATCACCAACTTTGATCCATAAAATAGTTATTTATTTTAAAGCTTACTTATTTATTTATGAAAGAACTTACTTACGAGTAAACATTTTAAGCTTAGCCAAACATGCTCATATTGTTAGTAGTAAAAACCACCATAGCCAGATTCACAGCATTTTCTAGAATGCACATTACGGATTAAAGCCTGTCAAAAATTGGTTCTCAACAAGTACAGGGAGCTCTTTCTTCTTGTGAAATTTTACAGTCTTTACCTGAAGTGTCCAAATGCCTTTGGGCCCACGAAAGTCTGGTATGCCACAAGAAGTGGATATTCCTGCTCCTGTAAATACCACTAAGTGCTTACTCTGCATAAAGGAACGAGAATGTAGGGTTCAATTGAAGGAAAATTAAAAAGGAAGACTATAAAACAAATATTGGACCAGACCCTCTTGATAATCATGCTGAGTCGTTCAATCTGCAATTTTGAGACATAAAAAAGTCAATGCTGTGAGCACTCAAAATCGGATCAAACAATATTTATGAATCATATTCAATGGGTATGAAAGGACATATTTGTAAAAAGACAAACATAATACATCAGAAGTTGTTGAGAGATAAGGGATATAAGGTCTGAATCAACTTAAGATTAGTAGCTATAGCAATACTCTGTACCTTACAACATTCTTTTACTAAATTGTTTCATCATAAATAATCAAATGTAAATTTCTTAGAACTGCAAAAAGGAACAACCGTTGACCAACTGGCTCGCAGAAAAAAATAATCTAGTTTCTAGAACATTATGAAGGATCATTATGCTTACAATCCAAGAAAATTATACAGCTTCTAAGGTCAGCAGATATGTCCTTTGTGTACACCGTAATTTCCACATATGTTCTTACATTTATAGGTAAAACTATGATAAGAATACGGTGATTTGGGTTTGAAACATACATTTGGAAGACACAAATCATGAGCATTCAATAGAAAGAATTACATGATTGTAGATCAAGAATACCAATTCCCTAGTATCGTAAAATGCCACGCCCCTTTCTCAATCCACAAATTGATAATTGCTCAGAGAAAAGCACAATCACTCATGCTTTCATTTTACATTATCAATTCCTGTCATGATTAGCCAAATCCTCTCGAAACCACGAATTATTATTCCAATCAAATTTTATCACACTTGACTTCCAATAAACAGGTATCTGATCGATTATTGACAAATGAGATTCTAGCGCTTTTGATTTTTCATGCACCAGTAATGCTTTAAGACATCAAACCAGGCCCAAAATATGAATTCGAGCCAAAAAAAAAGAAAAAAAACAGCACAGAATGCATAATCCAATAACTTCCACAGCCAAATGCGAATACCCACAAATCAGATCTCATCAATGAACTATACAGAACACTTTAAAATCCCCGAACAGGGTATCCAAGTGCAGAATGGCCTAAACATCAAGCAGAAATGCCCAAATAACTATGTTTCGCTATTGCAGAGAAGAAGAAAATCACCATTAAAGCAGAAAACTATATAGCAATAACACATATCAAAAAGAACCCAGTAAAACATTATCATAAAACTGTAAAAGGGAAAAATGGGCGGAAAATGAAACGGAAAATCTCACTTTTTCTTGCAAAACATGAGGGGGATCAAAAAACTCAGTCATTCCAACTTTGCCCACGTCTTCTATATAAGAAAGCTTCTCTGCATACCCCAGAGACATAGTTTTTTCCGCTCTCTACAAATGACAATCCCTTTTTCTTATACTCTTGCTTTTCTGAATAAAAGTTGATCAAGAAAATGGAAGGGAAGCGGAGGGGGTCACTGTTAGCTATGAAGTACTACATAAGGACGTGTTTGGCCTCTTTTAAGGAGACACCCAAAAGCCTTTTCTATTCACACGCTGTATGTGAAGAAAGAATGAGGGCTCGTTTGAGCGCTTTTTGCTTTTCCTTTTGTTTTTGCTTAAGATACAAGAGTTTTTCGATAAATTTATATTAGGTCAACTTTCCTCTAGAAGTTATTCAGACAAATTACTTTCAAAACACTGTCAAAATATGTTTAAGAAAAAGCTTCTTATTTTTAGGAAAGCAAGTTTTGACATTTTAAAATTCCCGTCAAACAGGACTTAAGAGGGCTTTTGTTTAAATTTATAGATTAGTCCAATTTAACCCATGCTTGATCTCCGTCATTCCAAAACTCTTAATTCTCATATTCATTTCCAATCACACATTTACGTAATAAAATATTTTACATGTAAATATTCTCTTTTTAACTACACAATCTTCAAAAAAAAATACTATTCAAAACTCAATTTTCTAAAATAATGATCAAATGGGGCTTAAGAATGAGTGATTTTTTAAAAATGGAAGTTTGTCTTGACTTACTCAACAAATAATTTTTTTCATAGAAAATTATTTTACTTGCCAAACATGCTCTTTTTATGTTGTTCTCTTTACTTTCGTAGTTAGGCACTATTAAGGTGAGATGTTATCTCATTAAAAACAAATTGATATAGACAAACTCGATATACCATATTACACTGGTATTAATAAAAAAACCCAAATTAAATAAATAAATAAATATATATAATACAATATAGTAATATGATACTTGAATTATAGCCCATGTTTAGTGGGGATTAAAATCTTAGGGTTGTTTGTTTTGTGTTTCAGTTTTGAGTTTTGAATTTATTTTCAGTTTTCTGTTTTGAAAGCCTGGTTTAAGATTACTAAAAAATGCACTTGATTTGTCATTTTAAAAATTAATTCTCGATAACATAAAACTAGAAAACAATTGGTTTGAAATTTTAAATAATTATTTTATGACGTTTTATTCTGTAAAATATAATTATTCAATAATAATAGAATAATTTTATGTTAATACATTATCAAATAATACATTTTAAAGTTGATGAATCTTACAATATTTTTTCTCTACAAAAGTAAAATAAAAATAGATAATAAATTGAAACTGAAGTTACATCTTTTTTTCATTTCCATTCAATAATTCTTATGTGTTTTCACACCCTTTGAGACCCCGAAAAATGGACAAATGGAATTCACAAACAAATGTGTTTTTGTTTCAACCATTGCGTAAGCACTATACAGAAGTATGCTGGTTCAATTAAAGAGATTCTCTTCTATGATGTTAAAAATATATGAAATAATAATAATAATAATTAATGATGTAGATTGAAAATATATGTTCATTTAAAAATATTTTTAGAATTTTCATGTAGATAATCATTAAAATTTTGAATTGTTTTTACTCTTTATTTATTATAATCTTTATTTTTATTTTTATAATTTGTTCTTCATAATTTTTAATTTTTAGAATTTTAGTTTTTTTAAGAATTTTATATTTTATTTGCTCAAAACATTTTTTTTATATTTTATTTTTCAAAAATATTAAAATTTTATTTGTTATAATTTTATAATTTTAATTTTTAATAATTTGTTAATTTTATCTAAATAAGTTTTATCTAAACACTTATTTTTCATGTTTTGAGTATTTTTTTCAAAGTTTCACTGAAAGTACTCAAAATTAGTGATTTGAGTTTTATATTATAGGTTTATCTTTATTTTTGAAAAATATTTCTAAAAATACTAGACAAAATACGTTGTCAATGTTTTGTAAAATTAAAACTAAAAATAGTAAAATAAACGTATCATTGATTTTTACTTTAGTTAAAATTAACAATTAATTTTAATAACGTATTTCATAGAACTCGCGACTTTTAAATCACAGATTTAATCAATTTTTTTCAAAATTTACTAAAAATCTAATTTTAATTTTCCACCAAACACGAGCATAGTGCAATACATAATTAGTTAGCACATTTAACCATATTCACTTCATACATAGATATATAGAAGTTGTTCGAATTTAAAGTGTTTAATAAGCAATCTAAAATATAAATAGATATAAATATGTCATGGATAAATGAATAGTACTTTTGACTCCTTCAAAATGTATGGATAAAACGCTTAGGATATGTTTGATTGTATTTGTTTTTTATGAAAAATATCAGATTTCCATCCAAATTCCTACTTTGAAGTATTTGATTGTTATTTTTTTCATTAAAAATATTTTTCAACTTTTGAAAATATACATAATTTTCGTTGTTTTTAAAGAAAACGTTTTATTTGAGAGGATTAAAATTTTATTTCCTCAAAACAAGTAAAATATTTTATATTATAGATGATATTTTTCATATCAATTAAATATACTCTTATAGGCATGAGTCTAACATAGCTCTATTAGACAAAAATTGTAAGTATTTTATAAATTATCAAACATTACTTTCTATCATACATACAATCCATAAATATTATTCACTTACACATCATTTATTTCTAATTATTTACGAATTAAATCATTTATAAATCATTCCTAAGCAGATATATATGTCCACGTTTGGCCCTTATTTTTTTGAAATGAAAGTAGGTGGAATAACTTTTTTTGAAAAATAAGAAGTTGAAAAGAAGAAATTTTTTTCGAATTACGTGTAATATTATTTTATGGAAGATTGTGTGATTGAAAATATGATAAAAATAATAAAATGTAATTTAATGGAAATCAAATGAAAATAATTGATTATGTTACCCTCCTCATGTGATATCTTTAGTCTTGTTTAATTGTGCCACATACTGATGATTTGTCCGTGGGCCCCACCAACAACACGTAAACATGTATTACGTGTGAGACAAGGAAAGAGTTTGTAGATGATAGTCTTTGACTCTTTGGGAGGTACGTAACGAACGTTACACACGGCGCATCTAATCCAGTATGAATTTTTATTAAGCCCTTTTTAATGCGTACTAAGTGCTTGCTTGATCGGTCGATCCGATTGTTTTTAAAATATATTTTTTCTCTTTTTTTAATTATATATTATTTAATAAAATAATATTACACGTTAATTCAAAAAAATTCTTAGTTTTTAACAATATATTCTTTATCGATCTACTATTTTCTTCTATAAAAATTGGGGGGGGGGGGGCCGATGACGCTTGTTGCACGAACTTAGCTAGTACCACCTTAGTTGAGAAGTTAGGCTTAAAAATTATCAAACACCCAAAACCATATCGATTGCAGTGGTTGGATGATCATGGAGAGGTTAGGGTGAACAAGAGGGTGTTATTGAATTTTTCCATAGGGAAGTATAAGGATGGAGTACTATGTGATGTTGTGCCAATGGATGTGGGGCATTTATTGTTGGGTAGACCTTGGCAATACGATAGGAAGGTGAAACATGATGGGTTTAGAAATAGGTACATTTTTGACATCGATGAAAAAACTATTACACTTGTACCTATGACTCCCCAACAAGTGTATGAAGACCAGCTGAAATTGAAGGGTGATGTGGGGAAAGTGAAAGAAAAATAAAAAGGGAGTTTATATGCGAAGAAGAGTGAGCTTGGTGGTGGAAGTGAGTTGGTGGATCCTCACATATCCCTCCCCAATTTTTATAATTCTTTATTGCAGGATTATGATCAATTAGTGCATTAGGACTTTGCTAAAGGGATATCACCATTTGAGTATCCGATTGAGGCATCATAGCCGGAGAACTTAATGACCAACGATGAGGGAGTGATCAATCATGACAATACGAAGTGCAAGGGTCTCAATCAATTGTTGGATAGGGGACAAGAAGATGAAGGGGGCACGACCTTTGAACCAGACACGGATTCGGGGATGAATCCTCCTAAAGAGGGAGGGTCTGATCTAATCTTGAGTCAACCAAGATCAATCCTGAGTGCTGAAGTCATGGAGAAGGCTCGAAGGGCTCGATCGAGGAACATTCAGGTCAAAGACAATGCACAAAGCCATACAAATGTGTGTTCGAGGAACGAAGTTCAAAAGGGTAAAGTTGGCAAGCCAAGGGTCCAGTTACGTGTTGGGGACCAGAGCCGAATAATCTTGGAACCGATTGAATTGAAGGACCACAATTGGAGTCAACCGACTACTGTGTGACCGCAAGGCTGGGACATAGTAGTCCCAGCCTTGCAGTCGCATACATGGAGGCAGGGAAATTAGCCGGGTAAACTGCTTCTTCTATGCGGTATTATCCAATTCGCATAGCACATTTTCGAGCCAGAAATTTCCTTTTTTCACTAGACTTTTAATTTAGCTATAATTCTTATTTTTGGCAAGTCTATTATGTTTGGACTCTTAAAATTTCGTTTTTTCCATTAATTTAGGGTTTAGGTAAAAATTGCAATTTTTTCATTCATTGTATTCAGACATTGAAATTTTGAGAATTAATTCAAAGAGGCAAATTGCTTCCAATCCTTGTTCTGGCTGAACAAACCGAACTTATCAAGATTTCACGATCTTGTG